CCCCAAAACCCCAAAACCCCTTGATGATAGAATCATAAATAATAAGTAAATTGATAAAAGTTCAAACTGTTCAAATCAATATATAGCATGATGATTGGGATTCTAAAGTTAGCCGATCGTTGCATTCATTTTTTCTGTTCTTGCTTTGTCCAATTTTTACCTCAGCATCAAAGCTTGTTTCTTTCTTTCCTCATCCAATATATCATATTCAATGGTATCTACTCTTTCAAGGAACAATAACTTGTCTCCTAAACTCTATTTGAAGTAATCCTTCTTGGGTTTCTTCTCGCTTACTAATTCTAAGTACCTTTAATCGAAGAAATCGCTACTCAATTCTCTCGCCTCTATTTTTGCATCCCCATCAGGTGGAAACAGACTGATAAAACCTAAAATGTCTCTGTAGGTTGTAATTTCGCTTCCTTTATAGTAAATATTTGGCACTTCATCATAAGTTTCCTTATTCTTGTCTGCTTTTGTGGAATGATCTCTGTTCTTGACCTGTCTAGATACTTGCAAGTCTTTTTAATTCATCTGAACTATCTATTGCAACTTTTTGAATTTCTTAGCACTATTCATCTAGCTGCTAATTGAATACTCCTTCGGACTAGATCTTTTAGTTGACAATAGACTTTTATTAATGTTATTGCTATTCTCTTTTATTAGCAAATTTTTTCTAGACGTTTCATGTGATTTTTACTGAACTTTCTTTAAATGACGTCTGCTATCTTTGAAAAATGACATAAAACTTGGAGAACCATTAGCATTGAAGAGTAAACTGCTCTGGTTTGGAGATTTTTGAAACATTGTGTGACCCCCTGAGACTGCCTAATTCTGGTTGAGATTAAATCCAAATAGCTTTCCTTCATTTTTCCTCTTATCGATGTTTGATGGAGAATATTCACTTCTAATCCTTATTTTAGGCAGAGTACCTAATTCTTACTATGAGCCCTAATTTGACAAGGTATGACCCTCTTGTGCGATGTCAGTCAGAAATGCTTTCTGTGAAGTAAGGTGACTACTATCCAGATTATTAATAGTTGAACTGTTATTGAATGTGTGGTGATTATGTAGTGTAGACTTATTCAGAATGTTTTAGCTCTTAATAGCCACTTATTCTCTCTTGTGGAATGCTTACTTAAGGAAATTAGACATGCTTTCATCTTTTGCAATATAGTGATGTATGTAGTTATCTTTAATTTCATGATGCCCGAGTGGAGTATAATTTCTGTTCTCTTAATGCCTGCTAGACTTAATCCCGTTTTTCTATTGCAAAGCATCCAATTAATCAGCCAGTTAGAGCTTTGGCTTAGAATCCCTTCTCATATTATGTTTTCTTATGCCCAATTTATTCAGAATATCCACGTATAAATTATCCTTTGCAGCTGGTTCATCCTAATTTTATTCTAGCAATCCTTTAATCTTCAGACTATTTTCTGCCTTCTTGTTGTTCAGATTTAGAGGGAAAATTCTATCAGACTAATTAAAAATCATTAATAAATAAGTTTTAAAGTTACTTTCATCAAACTTGCTAGATTCCTGTGGTTCATAATTTTAGGCTTGGGCATTATTTCATCTTTAAAAATGACCACTCTGGGGGTAGGTTATTTGTTAAATTTTTGTTCTATCATTATTTATTTTGTAGTTTTAATATTTTAATCATATATTCATTCTGCAGATTATTTTTTTACTAATTTGTTCTTTCTAAAAAAGTCTGCTAATTAGTGAATTTGGGGTTTTGGGGTTTTGGGGTTTTGGGG